TGTCAGAGAAACAGAGTCATATTTGTTCAGCCAGATCAGAGCTCAAAGTGAAAAGCTTACACAATATGCATTAAACCAGCTGCTAACCTACAAGCCTCATTTCTTTACCTAAAAGTTTATGAAATAAAAAGCACAGGGTGATTCACCCAGGCATCCTATAGTTCGCTTCAAATATTGAGACAGCATCATAAATGGTTTCTTTACTTTAAAAATGGAAATTTCTAGTGATTTTATACTGAAAAAATAGTAGGCAAAAAGAAAGTAACAAAAAAAGTGAGTGACAATGAATCAAAATGAGATTCTACATTTTAGCCACGAACATTTTCTTCTTCAATTTTTGTATTATTTTCCTAGTCTCTCCAGGATCCAAATCTTGGACTTTTTCTCATTTTAGCTTCAAATTTTCTGTCTTATATCCAATCACCCTCCATACATTGCCATTTTTTAAAAAAATCAGGGTACTATTACAAATCAGCACTGCTAGCGCTCTTGTCCAGAAGTTTACCACCTCCTGAAAGTTCTCTTCTCAATTTACTGCAGCTACATTAATATTTTTTCACATTCCAAATTCACTCCTAGCTCAAGAATATACAGTGGCTTCTTACTGCCTGCTGGATCATATCCACATCCCCACACTGTGTGTCTGAGGCCCCGTTTACTGACCCTGGGTCATCTCTCAATAGAGAAGTCATGCAGTCCAGAGAAAAAAGCCCAGCTTTTGAGGATATCAGTTTTAATACTTGCTCTGGCATTTACTTCTTATGAGGCACTGAACAAGTTCTTTAAATTCCCTGAGCTTCAGTAAACCACTTGAAAAATGTGAATAATAAAATCTGTCTTGCTCAGTTATGAGAATTCAATAGAATGCCTAACATAGCAGGTTGGTGCAGCTTGTTTACATTTTTATTCCTTTATTCACGTTAGTCCTTGGGCTAGAATCCCCATCCCCTACGCTCTACTCCTCACATTCCTGATAAGGTGTCAGCAACACTGGAACAGCTATGTGGGGCCTAAATGAAACCACAGGGTCTTGGACCTTTTCCTGTATCTCTTTTTAAAAATAAAAGTGGAAATCCCATTCCTGAAAATTTACTTCCTGCAAAAAAACGGTTCTGATTCACAATCTCATTTCTCAAAACTCTCATGGGCAATGTAAATGCTCATGATTCCTAATGCTTATTTATATATGAAATCAACAAATATTAACCAAGTGCTTATTAAATGTCAGGCACTGAGTAAGACTGTAAAGATATTGCCCTACAGAGATTACTATTAATTATGGAAAACAGTATGTCTGACAAACATAAAAAAGGATGATGATGATGATGATGATGATGATGATGATGATGATGATGATGATATAAAATGCTCAGGCAACAGAGAGGTAGCTAAGTTTAAGGCCATGGATAGGTCCACACCAAAGAAGGGTATTTAAAATAAAACTTTTCTTATGAGGAGGAACAAGCTTGACAGAATTAGATGAGAGAAAGACTTCAAGGCATAGAAATAAAGGTTTCTGAGCAGAGAAACAATATGTGCAGACTTAGGGAGAGCAGGCGCATGCCTTGGCAGAAACCCTAAGTTCTGTAATTCAGCTTGGAGTGGAGAGTGTGGGGAAGGAGGAAAGGTACCAGCAAAAGTGATTCCTTTAAGCCAGAAAGTAAACTTGTACTTCATGCTAAGGACAAAAGAAAATAAGAATGTAGGTTTTAATCCCAAGATTTTAACCAGCTGGGATTTGCATAGCCGTTAAACTCACATATGGTTTTCAAAGACGTGGTGTGTGATCTTGTGTGCTGTCACTTTCTAAGTATATAAAATGTGACATGAAAAATGCCAGATGACCTTTCTCAAGGAAGTCTGGGGAGTGCAGTTAGAAACTGAGACATGTGGAAAAAGAAGAAAATGAGGTGCATTGTGCATTGATTACTGAATAGCAGTGACAGCAAAAGACCCAGGAGAAAAGAGAGGAGGGTATGGCCTCCTCAGGCAGTGTCAGGAGCAATAGGGATAAGCAAAGGAACCTAGTGGGATCACTTGTAATTTCACAGCAGAACTGTTTCATTTCTAGAGCTGTTCTCTCGAAACTTTACTGGCAGCAGAAGACAGTGGGCTTAATTGAATCACGCATCCTGGTCCCCAAATGAACTCACGTTGGCGTGGGGCAACACCATGGATTTAGGAATCAAAGGAGTCCGAATGGAAGCTTTCTTACACTTACAATGTGTAGGTCTTGGGGCAATTTACACCATCACTCTGAGTCTGTCTTCCCAGCTGCCAAATGTGGTGATTATTTCTACCTCTGAGCATGATTCTGAGGGGTCAGCAAGAGCACATCTGAAAAATACCCAGAAAAGCTCTTGCAGGGATAGTAGACCTTCTCCATGGCAGACCTTCTCTGAGAGGTACTGTTACCCCTCAGCATCTGGCTAGGTTATTAACCACAGGCTTGTCCTCACACAAAAAATAGGGAATATAGGGCTGGGGATTTAGCTCAGTGGTGCTGGCGCCTGCCTTACAAGCACAAGGTCCCGAGTTCGATCCCTGGTACCAAAAACAAAACAAACAAACAAAAAATGGGGAATACAGGAGGCAAAATTAGACACCTGTTTGTTAGACACGGGTGCCTTAGAAGCAATTTCACCGAATCTGAATTCTCTACGTGGTTTAAAGTAAATAAATGTTTTGGCTTGAGGGTATGTGCTTGGCTCTTATTTCACAGTTGATATTCACACAGGTAGCAGGAATATGATTGCTAACTAAGTACTCATTGGGGCCTTTTTTCCCACAACAAATATATAATTAAGATGTCACTGTGTGTGTGTGTGTGTGTGTGTGTGTGTGTGTGTGAGAGAGAGAGAGAGAGAGAGAGAGAGTCTTTATAGAAGAGTCCTTCCATGGTACACTATAATTCATTACTTTCCTAGCCACAAAAAAGCAAACTTATTCCCAAGATAAACTTGCTAATCTAATTGTATTCAAGCATCAAAATAGTGCTTCCTACATTTGCACAACACAAGTCAGCCTGAGGCCTGCCTGTGTCTGAGGCTCTATCCTTTCCCTCTCCCTAATCTCTCAATGAGTGCTGCTGGTCCCTGTGGCAGACCAAGATTCCTGTCACCTGAAATACTGAAGGTCTTATGCCTGAAGGTACCTCTGCAACAAGCAGAAGCCAAATAAGCTGATGGGACCAAATGAGCCACATCTGTAACAATGTAGGTTCACAACAGCTTCCTTTAAATTCTAAGACAGTGACAGTACCCAGAACATATGTGCTGATTAATCTGATTGATAAGATTAATTTTTTGCTAAATCCAAGATTTACTACTTCCCACAGATGTGCCATGCTCCATCACTACCAAATTTATCCAACAGCCTCCAGAAATTCCCCAGAGTAAGTACTCTTATGGTGCAGATGACAATTACATGTCATAATTACTCAAAAGCATGAACCTAAAATAATAGAAAATAAGAAAGAAAAATTTATATTAACTTTAAACTTCCCTATAATAGAAGGCACGATCATAGTCTCAGGTTGCTTTAGTTTGGGCGAAACAATTCTGTGGGAGACAAGATGAAGATATATCCAGAAGAAGAGAAAAATAAAAGGACGAGAAAAGAAATAGTGGAAAACTGCACATTCTGCAAGGAGACACCTTCCACTGAAACCCTAAATCTTTGATAAAGTTGTTAAAACTCACGAAATCCATCAAAATATGTATTTTTGTGGAATTCTAGAGAAGTTTGTGCCATGCTGTTCATGGAGTAACGCCTTGAGGAACAGGGGTACAGAGAGGAGCTCTAGGGGAGTGTGCTTATTCTGAGGTACTGGAATTGGATTTGAGTCCAATTTAAGCAAATCTTTAATGTTGCCTAGGGTAATTAGGGTAATTCAATTTTTTATTTAATTATGTGTTTTTGTTTCTCTTTTGGAAATTATTTTGACTAGTAGCCTGTAAAAGCAAATTCATCAACTAAAAAGTTGACCCCCAAATAATATGAAGCTCTTATTTCACATTTATAAAGGTACATTTCTCTAGCACTGTTGCCCTGAGTGATGGGCATGCACAAGTCATTTAAAAAGAATGGTGTCATATAACTCAAGTTGCTCTGGATTATAAGCAGTTCTTAAGTACTTTTCCCTTAAGTGATTAGAGGATCTTCATTGCTGATCTTCCCTATCCTAAAAAGAGGTTCAAACCCTCCCAAGATCAACCATGGAAAAGACTACTGATTCAATATTCAACAACAGCATCATTTGAAAATGTTTCCAACCATGGAAGAACAGCACACTGTCTAACAATCACTGTGTCTCCAGTTCTTTTCAACAGAAAACTAGTCTGTGAAGCAGACCACAACAGTGTATGTCTATTGAAGCATAAATTAGTCAACTATCTTATTGAGTGTCGTCCTCACATCAGTGGTTTAATGCCATCACGGAAAAAGCAACTCCAGGCACCAGCACAAAGCTGGCACACAGGTTAGCAATTCCAAACTAGCCCACCTAATAAAGAAGGCCAGAGGAAAGGAAGGGGATGAAGATAGCAAAGAAGAAATGAAAATAGCTTTTCAGGAATGAATCAATTCATGTCCTTAATAGATGGAGAAGCTGAGTACCTTTTGAGTAGAAACCTTAGAAATGTAAATTTACCATATTAATTGATGTCCACATAAATTTTGAAATTATTAGAATCTCTCTTGTGTAACAGTAACAGTAATAGAACCTGAAAGCCTCCGTCAGCAAGGATATAAATTTGGGATTCCCCTTTTCCTTCCTCTCGACCAAAGAGTAGTCAAGCAGGATGACTGTCTGCTCCATGATATAGAACAGGATAAGCTACATATCTACTGGACCAGAAATGGTCTCTAGAACTTTTTTGGCTGCTGTGTCCCAAGTATCAGAAATCAAAATTAACTTAGGCACAAGTGTCATGTGATCTGTGATTTTTCATCCATCCTTTGGTGGAGAGGCTAGGACAGGAGGAAGAAGGCAGACTCACCATCTGGTTGCTGTACCAGTACAGCGATGACCCTTTGAGCACCACCCAGAACTTTTTCCATTTGTTGCTTAGGAAAGTTCCCTTTTCCTTTTTCTTAAACAGCCACCCTTGACAGTCAGCATGTCCCAGATCTTTACACGATATCCTCCTCCGACTCATCCTGAAAAGACCTGCAATGGTTATACAAAGAGGTGTTACTTTGATTTATGTGGCAAAGTGAAAGGCATCTTTAATTGTTTAGCTTCCTGGAGTCGTATTTTTCACCCCCAAAAATGCAAAAAAAATTTATGTATCTGTTTTATTTTTTAAACATTCAGTCTGTGCCTAGAAGGTATAAGATATAGGCAAAGAAGCAGTGAGGCTAATATTCAAGTATTAGTTGAAAAATTAAAATCCCGAGGCTGACAGGCACATCACTGCAGTCTCTCATCTCCTGTCAGCAACGGTAGCACTAGTTATGCAATAGATATGGAAGGGTTAAAACCCACCTAAAAACAGCTACTCTCCGACTGTATGCCAGTCTTTCTAAGCTCGGTTGATATTGACATACCATGAAGGATTAATCCAAATGAACAGCATGCTGTCATTTCTTAAAATCAATCCAAAAATAACCAAAAATTAATCTGCCATCCACCTCCTGATATTAACATTCAGACAGACAAAAATCTGATCCCAAAGAAGACATCCAAGGAAGAAACACATACACACACACACACACACACACACACACACACACACACGAAGGGGATAAAGAAACAAAAGATATCTGATTACCTTGAGTTTTCTTCCTTGGCTTCTGACGCAAGGGAACCTGCTGAAAATGCAGGAAGGAAAGAAAAGAGGAAATTTCTGATTGTGTTGTAACATTTGTAAAGAGAGAAGGAGGGAGGAGGTGGCAGTGTTTATGAGCAGGGTGGATTCTAAAAAAAACTCTCCAAGCAGAGCTACAGGAGAGCTACTAGCTGAGGCACAAAATGTGCTAATTAGAATCAATATACATTGGGCTGAACCTGAAAAAAAAAGCAACAGAGCATTTATCACTAATGTTTCCTGTTTCCACCCACGGGTATCTCTCTCACTACTTATGACAGCAGTGTTCACTGAAGTTTTACATTTTTGTGTGAGAAGGAAAAAAATATATCCTGTTTTCATATAATGGCTAAATAATGATGATTATTTAAGTAAACCTGAAGGATAACTGCCACAATCACAAAATAATACAGGTTCGTGTTGAACTAAGTTTATGATCCTGCTACTACATAAGGTTACATTTAAGCCATTGAAGTAAATACCCAAGGAAAATAAATTCTATATCTCTTTTGGTGTGATCTCAGTAACTTCCAACTTTCCTTGTCAAAAAAATTCTTCTTTGAAGCCAAATTTAAATGTCTTATTCTGTCTTTATCTCTGAATATTTCTCTCATGTTTTATGGAAGATAAATTAGTTACCAACTACTATTCTGTACTAGTTCTTTAAATCTTTAAATCAGACATAACACAACATATCAGAAATATGTTTTATTCACAAAACATTATAAACAATTCACAGAAAATCAGAAAATCAGCAAAAATATAACCCTCCAAAACAATGCTTTCAAGTGCCCATCTATGTATACATGCACATTTACAGAAAATTTTAGCTTAAAGAAATGTCATTTTTCCTCTACAATATCTAAGCTGAATTTATTCAGGTTTAAATAATTTGCTTTTATATTAACAAATAGAGAAGTTGAAAAAATTAAAAAGCATACAATTTTAAAGGAGCTCTAAAAGTTGGTAGATAACATGGCATTTTATGCTACTTTAGATGTGTCTGGCTCGTATTCTACATATCTAACTATTGATCTAATAGCTTTTATATATGGTTCTACTACATGTTAAAGAGAAAATATGTCATACTGTGGAAATGTGATAGGATTTTAAAATCCAGAGGCCCAGAATTAATTCATGGCTATCATAATGTGTAGCTGTGTCATGCAGGGAAAGGCCACTCTGAACCTACTTATTATTTTAAAATCAAAATATGTACAAGAATCACAACCTTATAGGTTTCATAAGAATTTGACAAGATTTATTTGTGAAAATGCTCTAAAATGTACAAGTTTACATGATAATATGTAATATAATATTTTATATCTACTAAACAAAAATATATTTTTAGGAAAAGTATGTGTGTTTTCTTCAGCAATGATGATTAAGTTAAATTATATTCCTAGGGGGTAGACAGCTTAGGAAATCCTTCACTGGTTCTTTATTTTATGAAAGTTCTTTATTTTGTATGGATGATTGATTAGTTTCCTCAAGGATATTTTATGCAAAAATAGATATATGTCAATCATAGCATGCTATTTAAATCTAAGCATGTTATCATGGAAATGTCCTCTCCTCAGTTGCATTTCACAATATTTACCTCACTGTCTGCTTCTTGTTCCAAAATTCCCCCATTCTAGTCTCCAGGCATATTTGTTCCCCTTTTCCCTGGGGAATGAGCCCAGTGTCTTTGCACTGAGCTATATTCCCAGCCTTTGTTTGTTTGTTTTCATTTTGAGAGAGGGGCTCACTACCTCACTAAGTTGCCCAATCTGCGCTCAATCTTAGAATCCTTCTGCCTCAGCCTCCCTGATCCAGGTATCTTTTTTGATATGCCAATTATCTGAGATGAGTAAAAGCCAATTAGTACCTACTGACAAAATATTTTTGCCCAAATATGTTATGTCAGTTGAAGCTAAAACTTAGCTAAGAGCCAAGACTCAAAGCAAAGAGCATGTGAACATAGATGGTGGGCAAGATTTGGGAAAACTGGGATCCAAGAATCTCTGCCAGGGAGCCATTAAAACAACTAAGAATCTGGAGAATTAGGGAGAAAGGGAAGTCTCAGGGCTCGAAATGAAAGAGGTGAGATTACATTATTTCAAACAAAAAGAGCAGCTTTACAAAGATCGGGCAACTGGGAGAAAATCCCTATAGGACAGCTACAGAATCTGCAAAGGGAGATAGGAGGCAACATTCATTCCATGGCTCCAAGGATACCAGCGAGTCTCCTCCACCCATCTCCTGGGGGTTCCCAGTGACACTGAGGACCCTCTAACTCCAACAGCAAACCTTAGATCTACTGCCAGAGACAGCCCAATGCAAAGTGTGGGCTCTGATTCAATTTTAAGCAAGACCAGCCTTTGGTTTATGGCTAAATTCATGTAACTGGGCTGAGATGAGAAGTGGAAATGGAAAACAGGTCCATACAGGACCTCAAGCAATCTCTGAATGCAGCTTCTTCTTAAAAGGAGAGAGAGAGAGAGAGAGAGAGAGAGAGAGAGAAGCTTCAACAGTGAAGCAACCCTGCTCTGATAACACCTGTAAAGCAAACTATTAACTGTTCAAACCCTGGCCAGAAAGACTTCATGTTACAGAAATAACGAATTATAGGGAGTTTCAGTTTCATTTCATATATGTAAGTTTGAAACCTATTTTGGTTCATATGAGAGAATGAAAACAATCTTCGAGAACTTTAGTGAGTCTAAGACACGTTTGCCTTCTCACAACAGGAAGTGGAACTCTTGAGCTAGCCAGTTTCAAGACCTCGATGTGGTTTTTTTTCACAAGGTAGGTGAAAAAAAAAAAGCAAACGACCTGTTGAGCATTTTATCACAGTGTTTTGAGAGAAGAGTTAGAAAGTTATCATCACAAATATTAAGACCTACAGTAACTAGATCTTTTCCCATACTATTTTCTCTCAGTTTGGATGTAGTAGATAAAAATGAAGATTTATTCTTTAAAAAAATTCTAAATTTTGCACTAACTTGGAACTAAAATTTGGGCAAAAATTTTCATAGAAAATATATATTTCCTTTTTATTAAACAGTGTATTTTTACCTTTTAAAAAGGTAGTTCAAAAACTTTATTTGGCAATAGGTCACTCAAAAACACGTAGAAAATACAAAAAAATCTTTGGTGTTGAATAGTAGGGTTAACACTCATGTTACAGGTAATATGGACTTGTAATCCATAGACCAGCTGTTCAGACTTGTGGGCATGATTAACCCCATGGTATATTAAAATTCAGAGCAAGATGGATTGTCGATCTGTCATTACATCAAACATCATAGTGATCCTTACTTTTAGAAAAAAAAATTATGCAATGACATATTGATAAATGCACTCTCTGGTTTCAAGATTGGTGTTATTTCCCAATTTTTGTGGTGCAGTTCCTCATATCATTGACAAGTTAAGCTACCTAGACTTTAACAATCAAGCCAACAAAAAAAATGCTAGCTCTTAGGGATGTTTCTCCACAAAACATCACTACAAGCATCTTCCTGCTTAGAAAAGTAAACTCAACTTTTTAAAGGAAATCACAAAGCTTTGGATTAGTAAAATTTAACCTGTAAAAATACACTTAAAACTTTGCTTAATTTTTCCAGAGGGCCAATCACCTTAAATAATTCTTAATACATAAATACAAAAAAAAAAAAAAAAACTCTCCAGTACTGAATAGTAGAGACTAATCATAGCAGTCTAGAGTTTGGATACAATTGCCTGGAGAATGTACAGAATGACAGAGATGAAGTCTGAATCTAAAGGAAGACCAACATGTAACAAGGATGCAGTGAAAAGGAGACTGTCAAGGAAAATGACCAGGAACACCAAAGACAAAATCAAGAGAGTGAGTGTTGTAGATGTGTAGGAGAGCCTCAGGAGAAAGGTGGGTCCAAACTATCAATGATTAAGGGAAAAGAAGAGGTTCAGTAGGGAGCTCAGAAAAAGTTTAATTGTCATGTGGGATTACAAACTCCAGTGGGTTGGGGGATGACTAAAAACTAGAAAAATAAACACAATATTACTAATCTTTTACAATATTTACTGGGAAAAAAAAGGAGCAACATGATAGGTAGTATTAAAGCATGGAAAATGTCACTTACTCCCCTCAAAACCAACCTATGCTTAAAACCATTATTGCAGAAAGATACAAATGCACACATAGAAAGCAATTTAACAATAAAGTATTAAAAGCTTCACTATATTCATATTCTGAATTATTAAATATATAATTATTTCTTTCTCTTTTTTCTTGTTTTTGACATTACTTTGAAGAGAATAAAGTATAAATACAATTGTATCTCATTGTACACTGTTTTCCATTTCCCTCTCATGCTCTCCAAATTACACTAACCTGGATGTGATATTCATCATTCTCATATATTTTAGACTCTTTAAACAATATTTTTAAAATGACATAAGCAATAGCATCAAAATAGACTGTCGATTTTCAATATTGTGTTTTTGACATTTTTTTCCATGTTAATGCATGTAGCCCTAGCTCATTGTCAATGTGGCAATAAATAAAAATGGCACAATTTATCTATTTTTCTATGGGTGTGCATTTAATTTCTTTACAATTCACACTATCACTAAAATTTTGCACTGTATAATTCCCACATGCATACGTTTCTCTGGGCTGAGTATTTATGTGGGAGTAAATTACATGGTATAGAATACTTGCATCTTTAATTATTTAGGTATTCTCAAATTACATTCAAATTATCCTACATAGTCTTTCCTGGTACATGAATTTTTTTGTTCTGTACAACTGGGAATGTGTTTTGACTTCCCACGTCAGAATTTCAGATATCTTTCCCTACATCACCTTTTATCTGTTTATTTTTTTCTTTTATTAATTTCTGCTTTTAATTTATTACCCTTACTTCTTTAAATGTCATTAAATATACTGTTCTTCTTTACTAATTTGTTGAGATGTTTTTCTTTGCTTTTAATAATATATTTAGAGCTATAAATTTACTTCTGAATTCTACTTGTATCTCTCATTCCTACTCTAAATTGTTTCTTTTCTCTGTACTAGATATTCATATGCATATTTGTAGATTTCACATTCAGAAATTTTTACATTTTTACTAGTTTTCTCTCTCTAAATTCACTGCATTTTGTTCAGAAAAAAGATGATCTCTATGATATCATTTCTTAAAATTTATTAGCATTTATTTGTGACCTACTACATAGCAAATTGTGTGAAGATTTTATGTAATCTGAAATTCTGTTTCCCAAATCTTTTATATCT